AAAAAAAAAGAGTTTAAGGGCTGCAGCGACCATCACTCTCCAGGCCTGGATGTCAGTGGTGAGCGTTTTCAGTGCTCTGTCTGGACGCCATGCGCTGTGGAGCCTCGGAGGCCATAACAGAGGCACGTTTCACCACGAGACACTGACTCAGTGAGCAAGCAACTTAACACTCCACCGATAAGAATCCAAACCTCCTCTCTAGCTGCTAAGACACAAGGTTGACGTTAACTAACTAGGTAACTGAGAGGATATGTAAACATACAGGTCTTGAAACCAAACTAGAATGTGGTGTCACATAGTCAAGGTAAGTAAACGTGTAGTATTATTCTTTATAAAACACTAGCCATGTAAACTTCGCCTCGATCAGGCAATATTAAGAGATCAGATGAATCTCTGCAAAAGATTATAGCTTGTATTCCACTAGTAAAAGCCCTTTGTGTGTGTGTGTGGTGTGTGTGAGAGAGAGAGAGAGAGGATTAGGAAAAATAACATGCACTGAATATGATGCTCTTTAGTCTATATACACGATGTCAAATAGATACGCTTGTAGCCTTGCAAAGTGATGTGTTATTTCCCTGACCACAATTCCAAATGAAATTCAGATCTTGTGTAGGTTCATTAAAGGCAACATTGTCGAAATGTTTTTAAATAAACTACAGGATTATGTATATTTGGAATCAACTTTAAAAAAAAAAGTCGAGCCGAAGCAAATCAAAAACTGCAGTGTTAAACTGTGGGTGTTAATTTGTCACTCTTTTTAGAAGTACCCATTCCGTCTCCATCTCTTACCAAAGTGTGAACAAAATAAGCCCTACAACGCCACTAATTAACAGTCGCTGTCATGTAAATAAAGCATTGTTCTAAACGCTATTGCCTAAACAAATCATTTATGCCTTCGTGGCTTTGCCTTAATTCTTCAATTAAACCAAATCTAGCTCTGTCTCAAAGTCAACGCGTTTCATTTGTCAACAGTGTTAGGTGTTTTGCACCCCCCCAAAAAGTTAAAAATAGTTCCAGTTTATCCAAAATCCAAGTGGAATGAATGTGGGGATGGAAGACAAACTTGTTCTGTTCTGTTTTAAACCAACTCAAGGCAGAGACAGTAAAACCTCACAAAACGTGAGGAAACTTTGAGGCAAACTGTTACGGATGTTCCATCACCCTCCTGGTATAAAAACTAGCACTATGCAAGTCAAACAAAATAATACAAATAAAATCATAATCTCATCTGTTCTTACAAACACGCTAAAACAAAAATCTTTGCTATAAAAATCCACCGTCCCTTACCAATCAATGTTATATATAAGCCACCTTAATAATGTAATCTCAATCAAAAAAATACTTTTTTTTTTTTTTACTCCACGCTCTTAATTATAATTTTAAATGAGGTTCAACTTTCTGGCATAATATACAGTTTTAAGTTTTTTTTTTGTGTGTTTTTTCTTTTTGACACAATTTCTCATTGGACCACAAATGACATGATAAACATATTTTGTGAAAGTCGATACGAGACCCTGAGTAAACATGATTGGACCAGGCGTGATTGAGGCCCTTTTTGCTCAGATTACTAATGACATGCATATCATTAACTTTCAAACAAATCTATTCAGATAGATCCGCCGATGTCAAGAAACAACAGTCCAGTATAACTGTGCAGGCACAAACAAGTGTCAATTAATCTAAAACAAAATAGAACATCCATTCCAAATAGGTTGTCATTCCGCTTGACAATTTTCTGTCTCTCTGCATGTTGTTTTGCCCCTAATTGCAGGACGGGAGGATATAAAACACAGTTGTTTCACATTCGAGAGCCTTGTTCTTGAAGAATCTGCAAGAGAGGAACAACTGATAATGGACGGGTTGGATGCTAAAGGGAGCATGTCTAAAAACAGGGAAAGACATAAAATATTCCATATATTATTTAAAATTCATCACACAAAAAAAAAGGGACAGAATTGAAGTTCGGTTCATTTCTGTGAATCAGTTCAACACTGAATTGACTCAAATGTTCACAGAACCACCTCCATAGTATTTTACATATAATTTCTGAAAACACTTTAAAATGTGTAAATATATGGCTGTATATCACAATGCATTGTTTAAAAAATATATACTCATAATAAATCTAAAAAAGCATTCATTTAAATATTAATGTAAATAAAAAAATAAATAAAATACAGTATAAAATGTATACAAAATATTTAAAATCCGTTTATTGTCGAGATACTGTTATAAGTTTGATTAATATTTTTAATTAGTTATTATATTTTTTTTGTTTTCATTTTAAGATAAGTTAAAGGTTTAATCATTTATTAGTTTTTTAATGTCTATATAGTTTTTATTCATTTTTATTTCTGTTTTAGTCTTAGTTATTTTAGTAGATCAAGTTAAACAAATGAGTATAACTAAAATAACATTTTAAAATATTTCTTAATATATATTGAATTAAATTAAATCTCTATGTTGTAAAAAGCCTTGATTGTTTTGCTACTGTGTTTTACTTCTTGCTGTAAACATTTTAAATCTACTTGACTAATGGCAGTTTGGTTGAAACAAAAATAACATTAAGGCATTGCAGAGCAAATAAATAAATAAATATCAAGAAGAATAACTAAACATCTTTAAAAATCTGAAAAATTGTCCCTATAATCACCCAGCCCTAAAGTGGGGCCTTTGCTTATTTGTACAAGCGATTGTGTGGACCTCACAGGAAGCGTACAACAATGCCTTGGTGATATCCTCCCGTTTATTACTTTACATGACCCCTGTTGACGCTGTCAAAAAACTACTGAAACAGAGCCGAATGAAGACACAGAAGAAGATATTCAGAAGGAAACTTCTGGCTGCAGCATCTGATGGGGAAGCATTAAATATTGAGCAGGTTTTCCATCATTATCTGGGATCGGAAAGCAGACTAGATGAGCTGAGGATATAATTCTAGGGCTTTCTAATAGGCACGAGTACAGGCAGACAACATGCATCAAACTGAGTATTAGTAACAGAGATTCAGAGAGGGAGGGAGGGAGCGCCACTGCCTTCAGCATTCAGCAAAGACCTAATTATCAGCTTAAGTGATATGTAAATGATGCCTCACCAAAAAATACTGAAGAAAAAAAAAACTATTTCCACTTCCTCAGTGTGCACGGCATGCAGGGAAACAAAACACTCAGGCATGAACACATTTGATCTGGTTAATCAACTCTTTGAGTACTGTTATGCCATGTGACCACCTGAAGAGCAGAGCTGTGGGATATTTCCTTACGATATGTGCGCAAGTGACTATTTCTGTCTGTGCACGAGGGAAGGGTTCTGTCAGCCTCACCTTGGCCTTTTCACTGGGCTCGCTGTTTGTGCCGTATGACTGATTGTGCAGCTCCTTGGAGACCACGCAGAGGAACTCTGCTTGATCCTCATTTCCGTAGTTGTACGAAGAGCCGATACTAACCAACTGGCAGGAGAGAGAAAAGGAAAACACATGACGACAGTATTTCCAAAGTGAACTGATTTGACTACATAAGATATAAATACTAAAAAACACTTCCCTGCGATACATTGCTTTTGTTGGTATAGTGCAGGGGTAGGCAAGTTCGGTCCTAGAGAGCCGCAGTCCTGCAGAGTTCAGCTCCAACCCTGAAAACAAAACTCACCTGCCTATAGCCTTAGTAATCCTTAAGACATTGATTAGCTTGTTCAGGTGTGTTTGATTAGGGTTGGAGCTGAACTCTGCAGGACCTGCGGCTCTCTAGGACCGAACGTGCCTACCCCTGGTACAGTGTGTAAAATAGTACATATAAAAACCAAAACTCTCTCGGGATGCCAAACCTCTCACGGGATGCTTTACATCAACAAAGAGCCATTTGGAAAAAAATATTACAAATGTGTCCAGGTCATATTTTACCACAAATAAAAAAATACAAAATACAAAATACAAAATAATATTTTGCTTAAATTTAAGTATATTTTTAAAACACTTTTTTGCATTAAAAACAACATTAATTTTGTGGTAATGAAATTACTGTAATGGCAGGGCTCGCAAAATCGCTAGCCCGACGTCCCGGGGCTATTGTGTTTTACAGTCGGGCTACCAAAATGTATCACTGCCCTGCCCGACGGGCTATCTTGTATAGTGATATAAGATCCCTTCCTTGATTCGCGTTGTTCACTCGCTTGTAGGGGTGAAACGGATCATAGTTTATCATTTACACGTGTTTCTAAGTCTTACCAATTTAAACATTCAAGCGTTTTAAACCATTCATGCGCATGAAGAATTCAGTTCGGTGCTCGAGTGCACATACAGAGCGGCGTTTCAGGCAGAGCACGAACACAGAATTGATTCCTCTTTTGCTTGAACGGACACATACACGCACAATTATCTCAAAATAACTATCTCTGCAAGTATTTTCATGTAAATGAACGTAAATAGTGGAGAAAGAAATCGCACGTGCATCATTATATTGGATCCTTATATTGGATCCGTGCATTCGGTCTTAAAGGGGCAGCAGCCTATAAATACCTGCTGTTTAAGCGCCACCTGCTGTCAGAGAGTGACATTTGCGTCTCATTCAGCCCATCTGCTATTTTTGTTTCGATCAGATTTTTTTATGTAGTATCACATAGCTAAAGTCAGACGATTTTGTTTTTGTTTCAAAATTGTACAATCTAAATAACATGTATGCAGCATCTTTGTTTGGATCGTGATTAAAATACACAGGCAAAAACTTAGTTTACTTGCATGGAGAAATTTATTTTATTTGTATTATTTATTTGATTTGGGATTTGTTTTAAAATTTCAAGTTAGTATATTGTTTGACATTTTCAATTTCACAAAGTAATGTGCAGCCTTTTGGTCTGAGAAATAACAAAAGGACACCTTTTTTAATATCTGTCTTAAATCGCATTTTGTTCAAAAAGAAATTGTGATTGTGAAATCAGTATCGTGAATCATATCACATCGTGAGTTGAGTGAATCGTTACATCCGTATATGCTACTAGTTTTTGCTGTGGTATCGAAGTAGTAAATTGTTCTTAAAATAATAAGTGTTACTTAAATAGTAAAGAACCATATTTTTTTTGCTCATCTGAAAAATGATCCGATCTGTGACTCAAAATGTGATATGATAATGTAATATAATCCGAACCGTGAGATTTGGGATCCGTTGCACTCCTACTCTCTTGACTTGTTATTTGAAGAAAAAATACAATATCTTTTATTCGGGCTAGTTGCCTGCCCAAAGGGCTAGCAGGGATTTTGAAATTTTGCGAGCCCTGAATGGGGAAAAAGGGGAGAAAATTAAATGGCATGTATCTGTACGTCATGGTAATATTTGTTTTACTGAATTTTATTGATATACAATTATTTGTGCTGATTTAATTTATGCTGAATTACAATAATGAGATTTTTTTTGCAGGCCATATTTTACTGCAAAATCAAAAGAAAAAAATGCCTAAATAAAAATATATTTTTTAGGAACATTAATATTTTTTGCATTAAAGTAATATTAATTTTGTGGTGAATCAAAAAAGAGATGATTTGTCAATGTCTGTTGCACTGAGTAATATTACGGAAAAAGTCAAGTGGGCAAGCGAGATGAAGAAAATCAGCAAAACTCATCACCAACGTTTCAGGAAGGCTATCATTGACTCTACTCGAGTACTGATGCCCCCGTCTCTTCACTTTCCAGGTACTGATTAGACTGAACCACCAGACGCTCCCTTAGATGCTTCACTCACCACAGGTTGTTGAACTCCAGGCACTACCCATCGCACCACAAATTACAGCTTGTCCCTCAAACACCCAAAGCGTAAAAGCTTCACTTTATTTCTGTGCCTTACCCTTCCACCACAAGAGCATGAATATGCAAAAATAAAAGCAAACACTGTTCAGCAATCTAGTCAAATAAAAGCAAACTTCCAAAAAAAAAAAACACTTCCACTGCTCCTAGATGCCCTTAGATGATATTGATCTCAATGCTAAACAGGGGCAAGTGAAAGAGAATTTTACTTGCCCAAATGGACAAGTAACATGATTAATACATCAATAACAAACAATAACTAGGGCAGCACCGAAACTTTGGCGACAATGATTCTGATTTTATTACTTTCAGTGTAAACAGTGACCGATAACGGATAATGTATTGACAGTATCAAGGTCACGACTCGCAGAGAAATTGATAAGATAAAACTAATAAGAGCAACAGCACACACAAAGAAACAAACATGAATAAACATACTGCGGTAGAAAAAAATATATAAATATTCTATATAATATATGATATAGGTAAGCAACATCACACAACCAAGAGTGATGTTTTCCCGACTATTAGCACGATTGCATATGTGACAATGATTTTATACAACAGTAGTTGCAAGTAGATAATATTTACTGACTTACATTTTAGAGACATTATTGACTGTTATTACTACATTCCACTAATGAAAATAGTTCTAAGCTGGATGCAGTAAACTGATGCCTCGTTCTATTTATGACATGCTGACTCAAAGTTCAAATGATTTTCAACAGTCGCTTTGTCACATCCTGTTGCGGCGCGGACACGGTGTCAGCATAGTTTGTCAGTACAGTCAGTAACGCAAGAGATTGAAAAGTTAGTATCTTTCTGCAGTTCAATAGACGGCAGTGCGGTGGTGGCTTGAGTCAGTTGAATGGTGATTTAACGCTACATTGTCACCTAGTTGGACAGACATATGATATAGGTAAGCAACATCACACAACCAAGAGTGATGTTTTCCCGACTATTAGCACGATTGCATATGTGACAATGATTTTATACAACAGTAGTTGCAAGTAGATAATATTTACTGACTTACATTTTAGAGACATTATTGACTGTTATTACTACATTCCACTAATGAAAATAGTTCTAAGCAAAGTAGAGCCCGACCGATATATCGTTTTGCCGATATTATCGGCCGATATGAGCCTGTTGCAGATATATCAGTATCAGCGAATATGCCGCCAATATTAAAAATTTTTTACAGAACATAACGCACATTAAATGCTTCTGAATGGTGTAATTACTTAGTTTGTCCAGCAGAGCGCGCTCCATTGTTTGATACTGGCGCCCCAGGTCAGTGTAGTGTAGAGATGCGCGGATGAGCTCAAACTTCACCCAAGTCCGCTGCTTCAAATTATCCACCCACACCTATATTTGATCGTCACATTACAATGATTCTAATTCTTAGTTTTGCATGATGATATGATGAATGGATGGTTCATTTTTAACATCAGATTCAGTGACGTTAGAGACTAGAGCTGATCTGCGCATCACGGCACGCGTCTGCGGCGCATTAAAGCCTGTGTTACGGCCAC